CAGCCAAGCAACAAGTTGCTCCTGAGCCTTCTCGCCCTTCCCACGGCGGTGCGGGAGGAAACAGGCGGCACCGGGAGGGGGGAACTTATCACCGCGGCTTCCCCGGACACAGCGCAGCCCCCGCACCGGCCGTGCCCCTGCCCAGGCAGACTCCTCCGGCTCCGGGGGAGAGGCCGCTCCGCTCCCTTCCCTTCCCTTCCCCCGCGGCGCTGAACGGCGGCCACCTCACGCCCCTCACCTCCGCCGCCCTCCTCCTCCTCTTCCTCCTCCTCCTGCCGCTCGTTCCTCCTCCCCCGGCCCGGACTACGCTGCCCATGGTGCCCGGCGGCGCCGCGGCTGCGCGGCCGCCCGGGGGCGGGGGCGGAAGCTTTGCCGGTCCCCGCCCGCCGCGGCCGGGCCGGGCCGAGGCGCCGCCGCCATGCCCCGGGACAACATGGCCTCCCTGATCCAGCGGGTGGCGCGGCAGGCGGGCCTCACCTTCCGCAGCCCGGCGGGCCCGGCCTTCGGCGAGAACCTGCACCGCCTGCAGCAGCTGCTGGACGAGGTGCGCGCCGAGGACTTGCACCTGGCGCCGCGGGGGCCGTCGGCCGCGGCGGCGGCGGGCGGGGGTCCGCCGTGGGCCGGCGTGGTGCCGCCCGTCAGCTACATGCACATCTGCGAGACAGAGAGCTTCAGCATGGGCGTGTTCCTGCTGCGGAGCGGCGCCTGCATCCCGCTGCACGACCACCCGGGCATGAACGGCATGCTGAAGGTGCTGTACGGCACGCTGCGCATCGCCTGCATGGACACGCTGCCCTCCGGCGCCGCCGCCGCCCCGCCGCCCCCCGCCGCCGGCTCCGGGCCCTGCCTGCGCGCCCTGTTCCGCTCCCGCCAGCACTACACGCCCGCCTCGCCGCCCTGCCTGCTCTCGCCGCACACCGACAACCTCCACCAGATCGATGCCGTGGACGGGCCCGCCGCCTTCCTCGACATCCTGGCGCCGCCCTACGACCCCCAGCACGGCCGGGACTGCCACTACTACCGGCTGCTGGAGGGGCCGCCGGCGGGCGCCGAGCCGCCCGCGCTGCCGCGGGAGGTGTGGCTGGTGGAGACCCCGCAGGCCGCCGACTTCTGGTGCGGGGGCGAGCCCTACCCCGGGCCCCGCGTCTACCTCTGAGCCGCCGCCGCCGGCGGCCCGGGCCGGGCGGCGGCCGCTGGGACGATACGCTCGCCCCGCCGGGAGGGGAGCGGAGCCCGCCCGGCCGCGCCCCAGGCCCCTCACAGCGGCACCGCGGGCACACGGAGCTCCGCGCCGGCCGGAGCTGCGCGGGTCACAGCCTTCCGCTGAGCGCGGGCTGCATGAGTCGGGGGAAATAAAGCGCCAGAACGTGCTTATGTCCTTTGGGCCGATGTGGGAGAGCAGCGCGGTTAAACTTCTGCTCAGCTGAAGGGTCGGGGGAATAATCCGGCATCCTGTGTATATAGTTAGGGCCGCACGTGAGGGAGGGAATTAAGGCTCTGAAGGGAGAGTCAACGCAATAAGAATTGCCGGCTTCCCCCGGAGGGGCTCCCGCCGCCAGAGCCAGCTGGCAGTGGTGGCCCAGGGGACTGTGCCCACCCAGCCTGGGCAAAAGGCTAGTCAGGCTGCAGCCTTTGGGGACTCGGTCTCCAGAGCGATTCTCAACAAGAGCTGTACCCTGGTAGCAAAAAACCAACCCAGAACAACTGAGCCAGGACATGCTCCTCCAGTAAACGCCAGTGATCCCCAGGGCTGGAATTGAGGGAAATCCCACTCTGAAGGGATGCTGTCAAATTCAGAGTTACTTTTCAACAGTTATTTAAAGCATTGTGTACAAGATCTCACTATTGCAACTGAGAATTACTGAGTGCATCTATGCATATTTCCTTCAGCAAGGAGAAGGAGACAGTCAGCTGCTAATTAACCTCGCTTGGAACCTCTCACGCAGCGGAAGGTTGCAGAAACTGTGGGCATCATAAGAGAAAAAACAACTCTCCACTGTTGTGGAAGCCACTCTAGAAACACAGCGTATTTGCAAACCCTACACGTACAGCAGCGCATACCCTAGGTACTGATAACATTGGACCTGATGTCTTCTCTTTAAAGCGTGGTCTTCGTTTTTATATGGACAAGAGAACGCTTCGGGCTTTTGAAGCCTTGCAGTTTCCGTCTTTATACTATTTATAAAGACTACTTTTTCATAAAGCTTTTAAATAAACGTAGAGTAGAAGAGACACCAGGAATTTCACCTCGCTATGATGGAAGCGGTCTGGAGATGCAGTTTGTCCATGGCAGGGAATGCAATCTTTCTAACATGGGAGAAACTTTTTCTACGAGTGAAATACTCCGTCTGTACTGCAGGGTCTGGTCTCGTGCCTGTTCATCATAACGCACACTTGGTACCACAAACCCAGGCCAGGGCAGCCTTGGCCATCTTGCTCATGATGTGGCAAATTGAATAAGAAAACACAATTCCAACCTCCTAAGTGACGTACCAACCTGCTCCAGAAATCATTCCACAACTGGCTTTAATTTTTCTGTGTATTTATAAAAGCAGACTTGTTTTTCCTGTACAGTGGCTTGTATGTGAATTTTTAAATGATTCTGATACGGCTTTGCTGCTTTTTTTGTCTTTTGGTTTTTTTCTTTGGCCTGCGAAAGAATGAATGTAAAATACGGTCAGCATTATGCATGCATGGAATAATTCTTTTGCAAGGAAAAATTGGTAGAAATTATTTCAGGTGATTTCCATTTATTCTTGGAGCACTTTTAAGTGTCTGATATTTCTGCAGCTGGCTTACCTGTTTTTCTTGGAATTCCCCTGCAGCTTAGCATTAGTTAATGTTTAATGATTCTCAATCGAATGTAGTCATTAACTATAAGGCAATGCCTCCCTGTGTTACAGCCTGTTTCTACCTCTCTCTGATGCTAATAAAGACCATCGTCCTTTTTCAGAAGTCCACAAAGAAGATAGCAGGGTGCAGGCCAACAGCTGTACTGGAAAAACAAACTGCGACAGAGAGCATTTTTTATCTCATCTGCGCTATCCCCCCTTAGGTCTTTCTGTTTGGTTTTTAACTTTTTTCCCTCCATGTATAAAACCTAGTCAAGATGTTTAATGGGACAGGACTTTTGATGCATCTTTCCGAAGAGGACAGCATGGTCCCTTCCGCTGCGGAGTGCTGTTAGCAACCCTGGAAAAACCATTTCTTTTTGTTTTTTCTATTAAGGTGTTAGCATCAAAGTATTAAAAGCTGGGAAAAATAGCAAAGAAAACCTCAAATGCATTAAGAAAAAGCGCCTCTATGTAACTTCTTGCTTACTCAGTAATTGAAACTTACTTCATATGTTCTGGATATCTGTAAGCAGAAGGTTTAAGTCTGTAATGCTGTTCCTTCTCTCTGCGGTCTGGTTATTGTGTTTTCACAACAGCAAAATTACTGTTATTGCTGAATTATAGAATAAATACAGGATATCTCACCACTGAGCAGTCATTGCTTTGCTTCACAAGTACAACAGCCTTGAACCAAGTACAGTACAGAGCACTAGTTTCTTTTGCCTCACAGTCCGAACAGTGCAACCGGCCTTTCTTTGGGAGGTGAGACGTAGCACTGGGTTCTCAGCCCAAATCCTGCACCAGTGCCTTGCAGGCAAATCCAGGCACATGCACTATTGCTGCTTTTGAAGCTGGCTCTCGCTGGAAGGCAAAGGCACAGGTGTAGGACCGCTGATACTGCCACACAATATGAGGTGTTCCTGTGGCTGTACACTGGCCACCAGCAGTTTCTTAATTCAGCTCTTTTACAATTTCTGTGGTGTTTACCTCATTTTTTGCTTTTGACTGGGGTTTTGATTTTGTAGTATGGCTTCAGACAGTAGTTTGGAGTGTGCAAGTGGAGCCTTGGATTGTGCGTCTGGGTAGCTGAGATACCAATTTTGTTCATGATGCTCTGGCTACGACCGAGCTGTGGTTATCTGAGGCTGTGGCGGTACATCCAGAAGCCCAGCAGGCTGAGAACACTGGATCCCTGTCCTGCAGGCCAGCGATGCTGACTGAGGAGGCTGCAGCTCCTCCAGCAGCAGGCCGTGGTCTCTTGGGGGCCAGGAGCACATGGGATCAGGTGGTGAAGCTGCAACACGGGAGGCAAAAGCTTACTTGAGCTGCTGAGGTAGATGGTGGGGCAGTGAGTGTGGCAGCTCTGGAGCTGGCGTTGTTCTGTGGCTTCTCCATCCCACACAGGCTGGTCCACGACCAACTTTGGAAGTCTGCTTCCCATCTGATTCAGAACCAGGCATGTCGCTTCAGCTCCTGTTGACTGCCTCTCTCAAGCAAAGAGCAGCTGCCCCAAAAGCTAGCACCAATTCCAGAATATGGGGAGCAGGACATTTCAGACAGAAAAAGCAGGTGCCACTGAGCTTTGCACAGCGGGACCCGGCACTGGGGAAGCAGACACTGGGAGCCGCCAGGCAGCGGCTTTGCCCCCGTGCCCTGAGGTGCTGGGCTGTGGCATTAGTGCCGAGGTCCATCCTGCACAGCTCACTTCTGCAGTGCGGCCACATCGGGGATCCCTGCGGCAGAGGGCAAGCCCATGGGGCCGGCACGGACCTGCACCGACGGCAGGACCCGAGGGTGGGCCGAGGCTGGGATAACATCTTAAAAAACAATAATCAAAACAGGTTAAAAAAACCCAAACAAAAAACCAAAAAAAACCCCAAAAATAGAAGCGCTATGTTTTAGCCAGATGGGTTCGGCAGAAGCAGTCCGGCTGTGCCGCGGGGGTGAGCGCTGCCGCCCCGGGCCGCTGCGGAGCCCCCGGGCGCGGGCGCGGCACCGCCCGCGCAGCCCCCGCGCCGCCGGGAGCCGCTTCCCCCGAGCGCGGCCGTCGGGGCGGCGGTACTCGCTGTTCCGGAGCCCACTCGCGGAGGCTGCCTGGGGCGGATCGTAACCGCGGAACAAAACAGAGAGTGAGTCAAAAAAACCCACCCCGCTCCCTGGTTAATATTATCCCGTCTCTCGTCTCCGAGGGAAATCCCCGCGCCCGAGAGCGAGTGTTTGTACGCCGGCGCCGAGGCCGCTGGTTTTCCGCGCCGAGGCGGTGCGGGGCTCCCAGCGGACCCGGGCCGGGCTGCCCCGCAGCCCCCCGCCGCCGGGACCCCCCGAGGCCCAGGGACGAGGGGGGGACACCCCCGCCCCTGGGTCGGGCCAAGGAACCTAAGGAAATAAAGATGTCGATTTAGCATAATTAAGAGATTTATTTGTCGTCTTTTATAAACGTTGTAAGCACCTACCCTATTGTCGAAAAGTTTATTTACAGAGTGGCCAGAAAGATATCCCCCCCTCTCCTACCAGCCCCCGTTAGTGGTTGTGCATTATTCGTGTTACCTGCGGCGCACTGGGTCCCGGCCGACCACGGGCGCCGGTCCCAGCCCGAGTATTTACATCCTGTCCCAAGTCCTACTACAAACGGAACACTTTAAGTCACCAAAAAGAAAAACAAAAACAAAACCCCAAACCAGTGCGTACAAAAATATAGTCTCTAAAAAAAAAAAAATCTCAATATTAATAGGCAGAAATGTACAGCCATACTAAAACCAGGGAGGGGAAAACTTTCCGGTCTCGGTGTCGCCGCTGTCGTCGGAGCGGATAGGTAAGGCACCCCCCCACATGCAGACAGGGGACCGGGCTCTACACCACACAAGGCACCAAGGACACCTCACCACGACGGCACTGCATGCATCCATCCTCCCGCCGCAGCCCCTATGTACACTCGCCGGCCCGGCCCGCTCTGGCCCGCCCCGGCCCGGGGGAGCCCCGCGGCGCCGCCAGGTGCTCGTTGCGCCCCGCCGGGCCCCGCTCCGCTCCGCGCCCGCCGCGCTCGGCGGCGGCGCCGCGCTGGGTCCTGCGCGCCCCGCGCCGTC